TTTTGGCTGCATGGGCAGGGCTGAGTGCCCAGGGCTCTGGGCACAGAAGTGTGGCAGTCTCAGGGCTAATAACACCCACTCCTGGCACTGCTGGTGCCACGGGCACCCACGGGTGTCTCACTCTGTCCTTGCTGCTGTTTGGGTTTATTTCAGAGCCTGGCCAGCAGGGCCACATGCCTGAGCAGTTCCTGATGTGCTTGAAGCCTCTTGAGCAGGTAATTGTAATTCCTCAGCAACCCAGCTTGGCTTATTTTGGCCCCAGCATAGTTTTGCATCCTGAGGCCCAGCTGGGTAATTTATAGCTCTGTCAGAAAAAGGATAAAATCAGCACAGGGTTTCTGGGCACTGTGCAGATCTACTACAGATCCACTGTGCAGCCCCTGTGTGCTGGGGCTGGGAGTGCCCATGGTGGGATGCTCAGGGACCCCACTGGGGTGTGTGAGCAGTGCTGGGACCAGCCTTGCTAGGAGAGGGATTTTATGCCTTGTGATGCAGTGACTGGCCCTGTGGGAGGATAGAATGTGAGAAAATAAAGATAGTGCAGAAGGTAACCTCACCCCTGAGGAGTTGCAGCTGTACTAACCACCAAAGATTAGGAACAGGCCTGCCCTTGATGGGCCACAGCTGTGACTAGTAAGGAAGAGTGCTATAAAAGAGTGGGTTAGCTGGCCCAGAAGAGAGTTGGAGTTTTTGGCTGTGAAGAGAGATGGAGTTTGCTTGTGCTGTAAAGAGATTTGGTGTTCGTTGGCTGTATTGTGCAGAAGAAGAAGTCAGTGCTGCAAGGAGATGACTGTGAGAAATCACTGAGAATGTATGGAACTTTTGAAATACGATGACAACGTGGCCCCTTGGTTCAGTCTGGCTGGCTGAGTCCCTTTTGTGCACTGGGCACCAACACCTTGGGGGCAGCTTTCAATAAGAGGTTTCTCCCTGCTCCCTTCCCCTGGCTGATGCGCAGAGCAGCATTCCCACATCCCCTACTCCTGAGGGCCAGGAATGCAGATATTTACACTGAACAGTGAGGGCTGTGGGCCCCTGGCCCTCCTGGAGGCTGTGCCTGGGCTGTGGGGCAGGGACAGCCCCAGGCAAAGGGCTCAGAGCAGGGGAGGCAGGCTGCTCTCAGTGTGTCTGCTGCTCATCCTGGTGCACATTCCCTGCTGATGCTGGCCTACACTCTGTGCTTCTCACTGGGGATGGAGAGGCACCTGGAGAACTGCCACACTCCTGTCAGGGAGGTCACCAAGTCACAGACCTGCCCTGGGGCTGTCCTTGCTGAGGCAAACACCTCTGCTACAGAACAGCCCCACTTTTTACAGCTCCCCCTTCACCCACCCCTTGCACTCAGGGGTTGCAAATCCCCTGCTTTAACAGAGTTTTTCTGGTTTTCCAACAGGTCTTGTCACAAATTGTCCTACAGGCAATCCAGCCCAGCTGCCACCTCAGTGCCAGGAGCAGTGCCACCAGCTGGGCTGAGTGAGCAGGGACGGGACAGTGCCCACCCTCTACTGTCCCACAGAGGTGTCCTCACTCACTCCCCTTTCTGAAAAACACCCAACCAGCCCACGGGGAAACCTGCTGGGTGATGTGGGGCAAAATGCAGCGCAGGGGCTGTTCAGAAAGCAGCCAAACCCTTTGATTTGGACAGAAGATGTGCCCCGGAGGTGGCCGGAGGTGCCCAGCGTGTGTCCCTGGCTGTCCCGAGCCCCGGGCAGGATGGGCAGTCACTGTGATCACCGGGCTGGCTTCACTAGATGGCAGCAGCTTCTTCCAAACAGCTCAGTGACACAGCCCGGGCAGGGAGGGAGGCACCAACACAGGCTGAGCGCACCTCTGGGATGCTGTGTCACGGCGGGAAAGCCAGGATTTAATTTTCTTCTTGATGTTTTTAAAGGGAATGCTCTGCTCTGGGACCTGAAGTGGCTGCTTGATGTGGTGGGGCTGGTGAGAGCAGGGGATCCCCATCGCCTTCGAGCCTCAACATCACTGGAGATGCTCATGCCGCACCACATCCTACAGATGAATTATCCCGTGCATCCCTAAAACAATCGATGCTTTTCCTAAATCCAGCTCTTGGAGCCATACAACGGTGTTTTCATGCCCGATTTTGTACCCAGCCGTGTTTCTGCTGCCTGGGGGACAGGCAGAAGCTGCAGATCCCCATCGCCTTCCAGCCTCACCATCACTGGGAGATGCTCGTGCCACACCACATCCTACACATGAATTATCCCGTGCATCCCTAAAGCATTCGATGCTTTTCCTAAATCCAGCTCTAGTAGCCATGTAAAGGTGTTTTCATGCCCGATTTTGTACCCAGCCATGTTTCTGGCTGCCTGGGGACGGGCAGAAGCTGCAGATCCCCATCGCCTTCCAGCCTCATCCTCACCTGGAGATGCTCATGCAGCATCACATCCTACACATGAATTATCCCGTGCATCCCTAAAGCATTCGATGTTTTTCCTAAATCCCCAGACCCTGGAGCCATGTAAAGGTGTTTTCACGCCCGATTTTATGCCCAACCGTGTTCCTGGCTGCCTGGCAGAGCTCAGAGCAGCTCTGTCAGGCGGGCAGAGCAGAGCCAGGGCCGGCGGACGGGCCGTGCTCCCTACCCGGACACACGCTGGGTTATTGTGGGATTCGGCAGAGACATTCCCGAGCGAGAGAACACGCAACTGCCTGCCTGGCTCCTGTCCGAGACATTTGTGTTAATCAGCGATTATGCAAATAAACAGCTCTGCCACGCTCCCGGCTCCCGGCGCGATGCGGAGCATCTGTTCCTGTGGCAGGCGAGTGTCCCCTGCAGGCGCTCCCGGCTCCTCGTCCCCAGCGTGGGACCCGCTGTGAAAAGCAGATTAAAGGCAGGCAGAGGCCGGTGAGGAAGGCAGGAGCCCCGGAAGGCTTCCCCAGCCCGCGCTGCCACCTCTCCCCTTTCCCCATGTGGCTTGAATTACTGCGGCTGTTTGCTCAATCCATCAGGCTGCAAGAATGAGCCGCTCAGAGCTTTCTTGGCCTCTCCATCCAGCAAAGTGCTGTAAACATAACAAGGCAGGCTTGTTCCAAGCCCCTGAAGTCAAGAAGCAGTGCTCCTCTTGCCCTTTGGTGCTAAATATAACCCAGGATGCTTTCCATTCATAAAATGTGAATTATGCCCTGGCCTGTGAGGGAGGAGAGCAGGCTGAGGAGCTGAGGGCTCTGGATACTCCTGGTGCAGGCAGCAACCAAAAGGCTTCAGCCCATCCTTTCACAGCCCTCCAGCCCTGCACTGAGCAGATGGGGGAGGAAATGCTGTTGGGGGAAATGTGGGGGATCCTCTGTTTGGGTTGATTAAAGTATTTTCTTGCATTTGACCCTCAGGTGCATTAGGGCTGGGGTGGATTTGCTGGGGAGGTGAGTGCAAGGCATGGCAAGTGTGGGCTGATGAGGTGGCCCAGCAGCAGCACAGGGGAAGCCCCCAGTGCCCCTAGAGCTGTGTAAGATATTTGAGCATTTTCCAGAAATGGGAGCAGTACAGTCCTGCACCACGTCTCCCAACACCTAATGAGCACATTAGGACCTTGCCTCCTGCTGGAGGAACTTAATTTTGGATCCCTTGTGGATCTCCATGTGATCACCCTTCTTCTGTCCTCCAGCCTCTTCCTCCACCAGCCCTTGGCTGTTGGCACGTGCTGTAACATTCTCCCAGTTTTTCCACAGCAGCTCCAGATGCAGAGATGTGTCTGCTACAGCTTTTTACCCTCAGTGAGGTTCCTGTTTTGGGGAAGAAGGAATCCCATCTCCTGGTGGAGTTTAGGGAGGTGCTGCTCCCTGGGAAGCCCTGGGTGAGGATGATGGGACCCAAGCTCTGGTGTTCCCATGGGAGCACAGGTACAAGCTGCAGAGGGGGGAGGCCAAGGCTCCAGGCATGGCTGAGCATCTCCTGCTGGCTGGTGTGAGGCCGTGAGCCCTCTGCAGCCCCAAACTCAGCACCTGGAGCCACAGTGAGGCATGGGGGGCACACAGCAAGGCTGAGCACGGACTGCACACAGGGCAGTGCTGCATCTGAGGCATTCCAGATCACAGAGAACACACAGGTGACCCAGGTGCTGCTCCAGGTGCTGCCCATGTGTGCGTGCTGGGGTGCTGCAGGCCATGGGGGCTGTGCTTCCCCTGCTCCCCTGCCCCCAGGTCAGGGTGGGTTGGCTGCCACTGTAGTCTGGCTGCTGGGCTGTTTCAAACCCCAGCTCAGGACTGCCAAACCAGAAGGTTTCCAGGTACACCATGGGCCTTTGGATGCCACGGAGATCTAAATAAAGCCTTTAACGCCCACTCTGCAAAATGCTCATGTCCAGCTCCAGGAAAGCTGGCTGCTTTTTATGGCATCCAAATCAGCAGTTTGCTGCTGATGCCAGCAGTGTGTCTAATTGTATAAAACAACAGAGCTTGGCAGAGCCACGCCAGCTAGGGAGGAGCTGGGTTTCACACTGAAGTTTTTTCTCTCTTTTTCCCTTTTCCTTCTTAAATAACCCCATTTGGGCCTCCAATAAAAAACCAAAACATCTGGTGCTGGGTATTTGGCTGCTGGGAAGCAGCTCCTGCTGAGCTGAAAAGCACAGCAGCGATGCAGAGATTCCTGGTATGGATCAGTAACACTTAAGGTTGCATTTGGGCATTATCCCTGTCCCTCCTGGACTTTGAATATATGGCCTGGGGACACTGAGGGAGCTGTGGTGCTCGATGCCAGCATGCAGGTAAATCATGCAAGTCAGTCAAAAGGCAATTGAAGCAGTGAAGAGTCCTTCAAGCCTGATTTATTGATGCTCTCATGTGAGATCTCAGCAGCGTGAGATGCTGCTGTGAGAAAGAGATAAATCAGTAAATCACAGAAGCATGGTGTGGGTTCAGTGAGTGGGGAGAGCCCTTTGGCAGGGCCACCCCAAGCCCTGGATGAGCCCCCCCAGCATGGCTCAGGGCTGTTCCCCTTCCCTAAGCCAGCAGTGAGGCCAAGCCTGTTCCTGCCCAGCCTGCTAGGTCTGCATGAAGAGGTGGAAGTTGGTCCTGGTGAACTCCTGGTGGATGCTGTCCAGTAATTTGTCTGAGTCCTGGGGAACATCAGAGAGGACCTGCTGCCCTGGGATGCAGCTCTGCTCTGGGGTGTAGGTGAATGTGAAGGAGCTGGAGTAGATGAGGCCGTCGTCCCTGATGAGCAGGAGCGGGACTGTGATGGGATAGCGCAGCCACCTCCAGTCGCTGCCGAAGGCAGAGACATCAGGGACCACACACACCAGGGACTTGGGGCTCCTGTCAGTGCAGGAGAGGAAAACGTGCATTAACCAGGGAAGGTCCCCTGCAGGAGCAGCCAGCACTGAGTGACTGCTCTTCTCCTCCATCCTGGAGCTCAGTGTGAAGCCTCCACCCAGTTCCCTCTCTCCTCCCAGTCTTTCATTCCTCTCTGCCAGGGCTGCTTGGTTGTTTGCAGTTCCCTGAAATCCCTGTTGTTCCCCACCCATGGCTATGCCCAGACTGCAGCCAGGGCAGAGAGCAGGCACCAGACTCATTCCTGCCTTTCCTTGCTCCTGCAAGTGTCCTTGTCCCCAGTGTCTGCAGCCACATCCTTCCCAGACCTGCCCAGCACAGCCCACACCTGGCTGCTGTTCCCTGCCTTCAGCTCCCCAATCCACCTTACCTGTACATGGTCTCTGCTTCCACATCTCCAAACCAGACCTTGAGGTGTGCATGGAAATACTCCCCCTGCACCTCCAGCATGGCCACGTCCCCACCACCTGTGAGCTGTGACAGGCAGAGTGTGGCGGGGCTGGGTGGGTTATGAAGCCAGACTGCTTCTCCCACAGGATGCTCTGCCTGTGCATCTCATTCCCACTTGAGAATGGGAGGTGCCACAGGGGGAGAAGGGCTCAGGAGGAGGAGGCACGAGGCAGACAGGTGACAGGGAGGGGCAGCCCGGGGCTGTGCCCACCTGCAGGGCAGCGATGAGGGGCACGGGGCTGACGGGCTCGCGGATGCACGCCAGGCTCTCGCTGAACGTGTACTCCACTGTCTCCGTGCTGATGATGGTCCAGCACGAGCCGTCGTTCAGCAGCTCCCTGTTGGCTTCCTTCGGGCAGGGAGATGCCTGTGGAGAGTGTCAGAGCTCCAAATATGTCAGGTGGTATAGGAGGGCCTTAACTATGAAGGGTAGTAGAAGAGCTAGGCTTGCAGCCAGGCCCAATCAAAGAAGAGTTTAATGTAGGATGTGAGAGTTTGAGTATTGGGAAGTGTAGTGTACCAATTTGATTGTGCAGGTGGAGGATAGCAATTAGTAGTGAGAGTGTATAAAATAGGAGGTAAATGCCAGCGTTCAGGTGTTCTGGTTGGTTTCCTCATTGTGTGATGAGGATGAGAGTGGGGATGAGGGTGGCTTTGAATGTGATGTAAGAGTATTAGTTCTGAGGCTTGGAAGGCTAGGGGGATGAATAGTTGAGCTAGGATTACTGTTGCAGGGGAGGTGGTGGGGAATGGGGATGGGATGCCTGGCTTCTACCCTCAGCGTCTTGGTTCCAGCAAGTGACTGCTTTGCTCATGGGGAAATGGGGATTGTGATTCCTTTCAAAGACCTCAGTTCCAGCGTCCCCACTCAAGCTTTGCCATGATTCTGCCCTGAGTTTGGATGCAAGACTCCTCCCAGTGCCATGCTCCCCAGCCTGAAGCAACACAGGAGCTTGGAGAGACGGCAGCAAGCACCCTGCTCCTGCACTGCCATACCTGGAACTGGATCACCTTGTCTGTGGAGAGGCACAGGTACATGCGGTCACTGCCCTGCAGCTGGAAGGCACACTTGTGCAGCTGGGAGATGGGCTCATCCACGTCCAGCATGGCGTACTGCTTCATCACCTTCCGGATGATCTGTGGGCAGCAGCATCCCTGGCATGGATCCCTGGTGTGGATCCTGGCATGGATCTCCAGCATGGATCCCTGGTGTGGATCCTGGCATGGATCTCCAGCATGGATCCATGGTGTAGATCCCAGCACAGATCCCCAGCATGGATTCCTGGTGGGGATCCTGGCATGTATCTCTGGCATGGATCCCTGGTGTGAATCCCCAGCATCGATCCCCAGCACGGATGCCCGGCACGGCCCCACCGCTTGGAGCTGTGGTGCGGCCGGCTCTGTGCACTGGCAGCGCAGGCATGGAGCTCACCAGGGGCACCAGGGTGAGGAGTTTACCAGGGGTGGCAGGGTGTGAGGGGCTCACCAGGGGCTCACCAGGGTGTGAGGGGCTCACCAGGGGCAGCAGGGGGTGAGGGGCTCACCAGGGGCGGCAGGGTGACGCCGGTGGTCGTGCAGACCAGCTGGACCACGGAGCCGTAGCGGATGTACCCTTCCCGCAGCGGGAACTCGCTGCGGCTGCAGCGCTCGTCGGCTGCAGGGGAGGGAGAGGCAGAGTCAGCCCGGGGAGCTGGTTAACCCAGGTGGGCACAGGTCTGGCCCTGCTCCTGCTGCTGCCTTACCTGGGCTCATAGGGAATGATGCTTGGAGAGAGCATCATTTCGTGGGAGCCCACCCGGGGAGAGCAGTTGGGCTCTGGCCCATTCCTTGCAAGGCAGGAATATTGTTGGGCTCTGGACTCTTCCAGGCAATCCCTTGCTTGAATTTGTAAACCTCCAGACCAGTACAGCCCTGGTCACAGCCCCTGTGCCCTCAAAGCCAGTGGGAAACGTCCAGAGATGCACCAAGAATGCCGGGCAGAGGTGAGACTGAGCTGGATTCCTGCACCCCCAGGCTAATTCCCATGCCTTCTGCCACCAAGGAATGGCTTTGCAGGATGGGAGAGCCAGGGCTGGAGGCATGGTGGCATCAGTGTCCCCGAGGGTCCTTACCCAGGTGGAGGGTGAAGGCTGCCCACTGCCGGGCGCTGGCAATGAACGCTCCTCCCTCCACGGACAGGTACCGGGTGCTGACGGTCTGGGAGCGCAGGCGGTTGAAGAGGGACACTTTGGAGCCTGAGGAGATGCACACTGAGGGGAGAGGTGCCAGGTTAGTGCTTGCCAGGACTGAATGATGGCTCTGTCAAGCCTTGGTTCCTGGGTATCCAGCAGCCAAAACCCTCCCCTGTGTGTGAGTGGGGTGAGGCCCATGTTGTGGGGACCACATTGGCATCAGAGCATTACACCCCGTGCTGGGTGAACCACTTGGAAATGAGACAGCACTGTGCCACATAAATCCTCTTTTGGGAGTTCTACATCCTCTTTTGGGAGTTCCCATGGGCTGTGGGTGTAGCCACGTTTTCCTTCACAGAGAAAAGCAAGGCACAATTCTTCCCAATAATATTTCTGGGATACACATTCTCTGAACCTCAGAGAAAGAAAACACAATTCTTACCATTTGCTGTGCCTGCATTTATGCAAAAGTAGAATGCAATATGGAGATTGTTTACCCAAAGTGATGGTGTTTTGTTTCCTTGGCCTATCAGGGCCAAGTGTGTGTGAGTCAGGACTGTTGGGTGACAGTCATGAGATTGAGCGCAGTGTGAGCAGGGTTGAGCGCTTGGCAGGTTCAGTTTTAGATGTATAGAACAATATAGTATAATAAAATAATTAATTAGCCTTCTGATATCCATGGAGTCAGCGGCATCATTCTCTCTCCTCACTGGGACCCTCACAGCATTGCAACATTTGTGTCCAGCCTGGGCCACTGCAGAGCCAAGCTGTGAGCAGAGAGCATCCCACGCTGGGCTGGCACCCACCTCCCTCCCCAGAGAGCCACTCACGGTCCGTGTTCTTCAGGGACTGCTTCTTCTGCGAGGGTTTGGAGATGACCTTGATGAGTTTGCTGTGGAAGGTGCCGATCTCCTGCCCGTTGCTGAAGAAGAGCTTCAGCACCAGGCGGAAATGCTTGCGCTTGTCCGTGTCCGAGATGTACAGGGCCTTGGCACAGCTGAACCCCTGCCAGGGACACACAGGGGCTGCCAGCAGCTCCAGCCCAGCCCCACCAGCCCTGCTCACCCTCCTCACCACCCCACAAGGACATAATAGCTCCCTTCAACAAGCCCCGGGTTCATTTAAAGGGAGAAATGACCAGAGATGTTATTACAGGTGGAATGAAGAGCTGGGGATCAGCAGAGGCTTTATTTACACTGGGGGCAGAGTATTCCTTATGGAAATGAATGTTCATGTGTGATTTATCCCACATAACATGAGAAATCACCCTGGGTTTATGGTTTCCCTCAGCCTGGCCGATATGCTGTGCTTTAGCAGCAAGGCAAGCACTGTGGACAAAGGCCCTTTCTGTGAGCTCCTGGCCTGCCTCAGACCCCATGCTCTTCAGGGAGCCCAGATAATGCTTCTTCTCCTTTTTTCCCCCTCCAATCAAAAGATGCCAGAGCTCTGCTGAAGGATTTGAACTTTGGGATTGACTGGGGCATTTTTAAAAGCTGTTTATCTGCAAATGAAGGACCAGGCTTTCATTTTGTGACAAGCAGGAGAAGGAACCAGGGCTGAGGGAGCTGGACAGATTTTGACAGCTACAGTCCTGTTGACCTGAAAAGATGGTTTCAGAGAAAGACAGGGATCTTTGGGCTGCCTGGATTGCTGCACATGCCACAGCAGTCTTTCCTGTGTCTTATCTGGGTTTTCACTGTCTTTGCACTTGTGTGAATGGTGTGGGGAGTGGGAGTGGGGAGTTATGGCCAGGAAGAAAGAGCTGTGACATTCTGAGGAGGATGGGGAGGGTGTGACATCCCAGAGTGTGGGGTGCTGATGGTGACAGCCCAGCCCCTGCATGACAGGGATCTCCACAGCCCCACGGGCTTTACCTTTGCATCTGGCTGCTCCTCAAAGCTCAGCTTCTGCGTCTCCATCAGGCTGCTGCCCATGCTGTCCAGCCCCATGTACCCACACACCCGAAATCCAGCCTCTCCCAGGTCCCTGGCTGGAACAGACAAGGAGCAGCACCTTCCATCCCCCTGCACAGGCTCAGCTTCTCCAGGAGCACAGCATCACCAAGCCTCAGCCCTCTCTGGATTTCAGGGGGCTCAGGCTTGAGCAGGAAAGGAGTTTGGAGGGCCAAAACCAACATAAACAGACTCACTGTCCCCTTTGCAGAGGGCAGCTCTCCATGGTGCAGGAAGGGAGGGAGGAGAGGTCCAGGGCTCTGCTCACCTTTAATCTGCTCCTGCTTTAACTTCCATCCCGGCCCGCTCAGGTAAACACAAGGTGGGGGGCAGAAAAACCTGCAGAGACAAGAGGGCATTTTCTCACTGCCCTTCAGCACCCTGAGAAGGTGCTCAGGAGGGGCTGCATGGCTGTGCTGAGAGCAGAGACCTGGGGATCCCCAGCACTGGGGGCACCCATGCACCTGGGAGGCACAGGGAGCTCAGCCAGGGGCTGGGGACCCTGTGCCTGGTTCCAACCTCAGCAGCTGCCACATCTGGTGCTGCCACTGTGGCCACGATCCCAGCAGTGACAGATGGCCCTGGGATGGGAGGACAGGGAGCCTGGCACCCCCAGCTCCCCCAGAGAGAGGGAGCCGTCAGCCCCTGCCTGCCTGCCATGTGGGAGTTTGAGCAGGCTGGGAACAGAGTTTGCATTCACAATCACTTCTGCAGCCCAATGCAAATAAACCCATAGCCAGGAGTTTGGAAGCCCATTTTCCTGTGTTTTATTTGGGTTTCCACTGTCTTTGCACTTGTGTGAATGGTGTAAATTCATCCTCTATGGACACTGGGTAAAGCACCAGCAGAGAAAACAGCAGTGCAGGGGGTTGGATATCTTGGAGCCCTGGAGGTACAAGTTTATTTAAACAACTCATCCACAGCACAGGCCCCTGACTCCCATTATTAAGGAAAATGGCAGCAGCACCTTCAAACTTAAACCTGGGAGCTCTGTGCAGGTTTTTCTCTCCCTTTTCAGACCTGGCATCTGATTTTCACCCCTTGCATGGGGTCAGGAGCAGAGGCTGTGATGAGAGGGCTCCCTCCTGGCTGGAAGATTCAGTCCTGAAATAACTTTTTTACCTGCGGACCAGCAGCCCCTGGCAGGAGACTGGATGTGGTGAGAGCTTTGTAGGCACAGCCAGCCCATCCCAGAGCTGTCTCCTGGGGTCTGGGTGGTTCCAGAGGAGGCTGAGCTGGTTCCTTGTTCCATGCTGGGTAATAACGGAGCAGTATTTATATCCCAAGGATTAATGGAGGATTAATTACATCGCAGTGCTGCAGACTGACGTCACTGCCAGCGAGTGGCAATTTTGGCGATTCAAGCCAGAACCTCAAGGTGTTCAGTGTGGGGAGGATATTCAAAAATAGCAGCTTTGGAGACCACTGGCATGGATGGAAACAGCCCAGTCCCTGCTGTGGCCATGCTGATTTTAAGGCAAGAGTTAGAGGGCAGTTAAAACATCAGCCTTTCCTTCTTGGGGGCTGAGATTTGAACAGAATCTTGATTTCTTTTACTTTGTCTTTCTTTACTGCTGCATGGAAAGAACCTATCTACTGGGAATGTCTAACTGGGATGGATAAAGGCTGGAGCTAATTCTTTCTTGTGTAATTAAATTAATGGAGAATAAATGATGGCTTTGGATGAAAAGATGAGTGAATAGGGGGGTTAAATTTCACCAGCTTAGATCAGTGAAATCCAGCAAGGCTGAAATGAAGCTTTAGGTAGCTGGGTTTAGAAGTGGCTATCAGGCCAGCTGGGACCATCTCCTGTGGCAGCAGCTCTCTGGCCACAGAGAGGAATACACAACTTTACAGCTTCATTCTGGGGAAGGCTGTGAGAGGATCAGAGAAAAGAATGAGAAACAATTCTTATCTTCACTTGCTGCACCTGGTATTGTGAACATGTGGAATGAGTTATGGAGATTTGTTCACCAAAGGGTGTTTTTTAATTAGCCCTTGGTGATGGTGTTTTGACTGGAGCACCAGTTAGGTCAGCCTGTAGCAAAATTGGGTATAAAAGCACAGGTTTCTTAATAAATAACAATCAGCTTTGTGTGATATATGGAGATTATGTAACTTATTGCCTGGTCCTGGCCATCTCCCACCTTTTCTCGTTGCCATAGGACTTCTGAGCCACCTTGGCGTGCAGGATGAGCACTGTCTGGTCTGCTGGCAGCTGCAGGTACCTCCTCACGCTGTCCTGGAGCAGGCTGCCTTGGCACGGCTTGGGTCTGCAAGACACAATTTCCCTGGCACGGGGGCACCAGGGCAGCTCCTGCCCAGCCCTGCAGAGAGAAAGGAGCTCCCTCCATGCCCAGCCTGATGGGGTGGGGAAGGTGGAAAGGCTTCAGAAGGAACTGCAGAATGGGGCTGGCATTGAAAAACAGAAAGTTTGGACAATGGAGTAACTGCTTCATCAGTTTGCCACCAAACACACAGCATTTCTAAGACTTCCAGCCCCCCATGCAACCCTGATTATTAATTTGTTTTTCAGCCTGCTGTGCTTGTTGCTGTATGGCTTTTGGGTGAGCTGGGCAGTGATGCTGCTGAGCTGTGAGTGCAGCTGGGAGCTGCATTGCAAGATTGAGCCACTCACTGGCTTCTGCAAGGGATGTTGGGTGAAAACAGCTGCGTTTTTCTCTGAGACCTAAGGAGTAGGTGGTTCTGCTGATTGTTTCTGCTCTATTAAATAGAAGGAGTTTCCAGACACCTGGCATTTAACTCTGCTAACTGGGTAGGCTGGGTGTTAACCAGCTGCAGAGAGAGGAGGTGGGTCTGAGATGCCCTGCTCTGCCACCTGGGACACGAGTGCAAGGGGGAGAGAGCTCTGGGATGGCAGCTGTGGAGGCCTTCTGTGGTGCTGGTTTGCCTTCAGAGGGGCTGAGACCACTCATTGAACAGCACAGCTTCTGCCCTGCTGAAAGCCCCTAAACCCCGTGAGTCTGGGGCAGGAGCATTCCCTGAGTTTGGGATATTTGGCTGGATAAGATGAAAGCAGAGGAGATGCCTGTGTAGGGGTCCCTCCTTGGCACATCTGTCAATGTGGTCACTGGGAACACACAGCTCCTGCTGAGGGGACCCAGCCTGGTCAATGACTCTCCTATCAGAGGCAAAGCAGTGCCCAGAGAAGGCTGTGAACCCCAGCCACAGTGGAAAACACGGGGCAGAGTAACTGTGAGAGAGCATCTGGGGGCTGATGGCAGCACTGGGGGAAAAGGGGTGACACCAGGGCCATCAGCCATGGCCACCCAAGGAGGAACTTGCAAGAGATGTGCAGGGGAGCATTCCCTTTAAACACAGTCTCTCTTCCTCTCAAATGGGCTGGAAATGGAGAAAAGTTGAGAGCATAAATGATGAGATGTGTGAAGAGAGGTAAGTCTGGTCCCGCCATCACCCCAAGGCAGGCTCCTCGTGCTGAGCTCCTCTGGGCTCAGAGGGCAGAGCAGGCTCCAGGGGGAGAAGCTGCACACAGTCACCCCAAGCATCCTGCTAGCAGGGTTTGCCTGCCAGCTCTGTTCTTCACAGTGCAGTGCTTTAAAAAGGCTGTGCCCCTTACAGCTTTTAGCACCGTGTTGCAATTCACTTTCAACACATTTCAGTTCCAGCTTTCCCACCTTTGGATGGAGCTGATGCTCTGCTGTTGTTGAGGAAGAAAACCACATGTCCCATATAAACAAATCCATGCCCAGTGTCTTCTCTAAGCAGTGCCACGGGGACCTGACACTTTGCACTGCACAGATGTGCTCTGTTAGGTTACCAGAGGGGCAATATAATCTCCTGCCCTCCTTGTTCCCAGCTCCTTATCCCAGATGTGTTAGCTAGTAAATATAAATCACCAGAGCCCTGCCAGAGTCAGATTTACAGCCAGGGCCAGTGTCAGTGTCACCCACAACATTACTGCTGCTCTGTGCCTGGAAAATGAATGTTTTATGGCCATTGCAGAGTGCAGAGCACAGGCTGCCACCAGGCTCTGCTCCTGTGGCAGCCCCAGAGCTGCTGCCAGCACAGGGCTCAGGGCTCAGCCCACAGCACTCATGGGACCCCAGATAATGCTTTTTCTCCTTTTTTCCCCTCCAATCAAAAGATGCCAGAGCTCTGCTGAAGGATTTGAACTTTGGGATCAACTGGGGCGTTTTTAAAAGCTGTTTATCTGCAAATGAAGGACCAGGCTTTCATTTTGTGACAAGCAGCTCCTTTGCCAGGGCTGTACCTGTTCCCTCCATCCAGGTGCTGGGAGACTCCTGCTCCAGCAATGCAGCACACTGAAACAGAGCTTTATATTTACCAGTATCCCACCAGTGGCTGCTCCAGGGTGGGTCACTTAGTCCTGCTGAAGTTTCACTCCTCTTCCTAGCCAGTGAATAGTTTATATCTTTGCACAGCCAAAGAGATCCCATAAGAAAGTTATTTAATCTTCAATAGTGGCAATCTGCAGCTGTTTCACTCCTCTGCTGCCAAGCAATGGTGTGATTTCAGCTTTGATCTGCCTTTGCTATTTTTCCTTTCCTTCATATAAAAGCACTTTTTGGGAATCTCTCAGCAAAACTCTGCATTTGGTTTTGGGTCTTTCTTCTTTTTTTTTTTTTTTTCCGGTTGGTTGGTTTAGTTGTTGTTTTCTTTTTTCTTTTTTTTTTTTTTTTCAGAACAACTTATTATGATTGGGGTAAATATGGAAATATATCAAGGAAATTGGCCTGACCCTGGATACCCTTTTACACTAATGCAGTGTTAAATTAACTAACAGAGTGTTAAATGAGTACAGAACCTGGCTGGCTCTGTTCAGTAGCATTTCACCCTCAGTTTGTCAGAGACAACGGGCACACAGCAGGGAAGAACCAGGCTGGGTGTGTGAATTTTTTCCTGGTGAGTCTCATGGTTCAGTGTGCTGTGTAAAATGAGGAGCATAGCTGTGGGTGTTTGTGTCTCAGCTGCAGAGCCACATGCTCCATCCCTGTTAGTGTCACCAATGCAGTCACCACTGCCCATCCATGCAGCTTGATGTCTCCCTGTGGGGCTCCTCTGCTATTAACCCCTTGGCAAAGTGTGGAACAGCCTGGCACAGAGGCCAGGGAGTGTTCAGGAGCGAATTGCCAAAAGCTGTGGATTGAGACGTGTGCTGGCAGCGTGGGCAGCAGCAATGCCTGCTCTGCAGAGCCTCCCACAGCCCTGGCTCAGGGCAGGGCCAGGCTTGTGCAGGTACCACTGCTCCCTGCCATCCCTGCAGAATTCCAGAGGCACGTGGGTCACTGCCTGGAGATGATTAAAGAACCTTCTGGAATGATTACCCACATGCTGCTCACTGCTTGAAGGGGGAATGTGCATGCCAAAGGCAGGTAAACAGATGGGAACTCCTCAGATTTGATGTCCAGCTGGAGGAACAACTACCTAGAAACTTGTATTCCTTTTCTTTGTCTGTTCTCTGCCACCCTTGCCTTCCCAATTTTGGGGCTAAATTGTGTGAGTGACGCACTCCTGAACAGTGTTTGCCATTCTGCCCACAGAGGTGACCACCCAGCATCCATCATCTGCCATAAATTTCCCTTCAGAGAGTCAAAGGGCTCTTGCTAAAGCAGCTCAGTATGCCCACTTGGCTCCTTCTGGCACCTCCAGCCTCCTCAGGGTTACAGAGAAATATTCACTCCTTCTGACATTTATTATATTAAATTATTAAAATGCTTAGGCTGTAGTGCAGTGTTAGTTCAGTGTCATGTTAGCAGCCCCACACGGGCTGGGCTCTCACAGCTCTCACTAAAAGCTGCCTTTTCAGAGCCTGAGGTCTTGGCTGGGGCTCTGCTGCTCTCCGCACAGTTGGGCATTATGTAGAAAAAGGAGGGGGAGCAAAGGGGGATCTACCACCTTTCTCCTACACTGATTTCTGTAAGCCTTTCCCCTTCCCTGCTCAGCCTGGCACCACTCACCAAAGCTTTTCCTTTGCTTTAGGTCAGGCTGTGCCTCAGGAGAGGGTGTGAGTGCATTTGTGGTGCATCTCCAGGGTGGCTCTGCCCTGCTGCTTGGGGTGGGAGAGATGCAGGGTACCCTGGGGGATTTGCAAACCCTGGCTGGGTTCCTGTGCCCTCTCCCATGGGAAATGAGGCAGAAAAGGAGGAGTGCTCTGTGTGCTTTCCACAGGAGACACACAGCTGGACCACCTTGCACAGGGCTGTTTCATGTGGGCACACCGAGGCGCCGGGAGGCTTTGGGAGGGCTGGACCCCACAGCCCCGTGGCTGATTTTAGGAGAGCTGATGTTTAACACCACAGCTGAAAATTATCCCTCTCCCTCCCAGCAGCAAGTGCTCAGGGGCATCACTCAGTGCTTTGTGCTGCCTGCAGCTGGGGAATGCTGCTCCCTGTGTGGGACATGCCCTGCTCCACACATCACCTCTGTGTGATGCCCACACCCTTGGGCAACCGCAGCAGAAGGAAAAAGCGCTTTACAGGCACTGGGAGAAGCAAACTGCCCTCTGCCCTGCTGCTTTTCAGTTCAGTGAGCTCCACCAGCTCAGTTCAGTGAGCTCCCCCAGCTCAGGAAGGGATCTGATATATTTGGTCCCCTGGGAATGAAAGTACCCAACTCTGGAGACCAAAATGCAATCCCAGCAGCTATTGTTTAAAAACTGGGTCTTCAAATCACCTCTTTAGACAAGAACTGTAACTCACAGTAACAGTGTCCCCAAGTGCAGTTAGCACTCTGAATTGAAGTGCAGAGACCTAATTTTCTGCTTTTCTCCCCCCCTCAAAAAAGGAGCTGTGGTTTGCCTTGCTCAGGACACAGCTGCCCTGAAGCTTGCTGGGGATTTGCTGCCACAGAGGGCAACTGTTCTTCCCTCAGTTTGGGGAAACCAAACATCCTAATAAAAAATATCCATTTTAGAGGTCTGGGTTATATTTTGTGCAGATCAGGGGAGAAAACGCCTGCAGTGCTCTTGGGTATGGAGTCAAGGCAATGTTTATGCAAAAGGAAAAGCCATTAGAAATCACAGAAATGAGAAGCCTGCAGTTTCTGGCTTCCCTCATTTTTCAATACCTCCTTTAATCCAGACCAACCCAACCCACAGCCCTTGTATATGTATGGGTATTTATAAATCCTGTATTTTCCTCACTGCACACACAAGTGAAATTCAGCCTTTTCTAGGCCTGGGGGATTTATTGACCACACCAAGGGCAAGCAGCGGCTGAGAGCAGGAAAAGCCTGTGGCAGTGAGCTCTGCAGGGAGCAGGGGCCAGCTGGGCTGGGCACCTCAGCAGCACCAACACCCCCAAAATGCCCAAGTTTGATAAAACAGCATTGGTACATCTGCTAGAAAATTCAGGCAGTGATTTACTGGAGTCTCCTTTCTCTGTTCCTCGTGTGCAAAGAGGAAGGGAAATGCTATTAAAGCACCACAACACAGTCCTATAAAGCACTAAAGGTGGCTCCTGCCACCACCAGACTGACCTAGGTGCTGGGGGACTGGGAAGGTCTATTCCAGAGTTTCCAAGAAGCCTCTGCTGAAGATCTCCAATGCACATCAGTTGACCTTCTTGATGGAAAATTAACCTGAGGCTCTACAGCCCTCCAAGCTCTGCTCTGCAGTCTTCTGGCTCAAAATCACCTCCCCACACTGCACCACTACCTGCTGATGCTCCTAAACTCCAAGGACACTGCAGGTCAAATGGGTATTAAGCTTAGACTCTCCTTTTTCCATGAACTTTTGAGTTTATGGGGCTACCACATGCGTTACGCCAGTAGGGGAAGAGACAACAAAAGGGTTAAAAAAAAAAAAAAAAGGGAGAAAAGGAGAAAATAATAAAAATATAAAACAAAGAAAAAAGCAAAAGGAGAAGAAATAGATAAAATAAAGAAAAATAAAGAAAGATAAAAAAGAACAATAAATAAATTAGAGAAAATAATAAATAAATAAATAAAATAGAGAAAATAAAGAAAAAAATTAAAAAATTAAGAAAGTGAAATAAAGGGGTAAAAAAGGAAAAACAGAGAAAAATAAAGAAAAAATAAAGCAAGTTAAAAAAGAACAATAAATAAATTAGAGAAAAAAAAATAAATAAAATAGAGAAATTAAAGAAAAAATTTTTAAAAATTCAGAAAGTGAAATAAAGGGGTAAAAAAGGAAAAACAGAGAAAAATGAAGCTAAACCGCTAAGAGCAGGCGGGCCCTCCGCGCCGGTGAGCCCCCGGCCGTCCCGTCCCGGCACCCTCCGGTGCCGGCTCCACCTGCGCGCAGCTCCCGCGGGGCCGCGCTCGGCGGGGCGGGGGCAGGTGGGACCCCCGGTTCCCCCCGCTTCCCCCCGGTTTCCCCCGGTCCCCCCCGGTCCCCCCCGCTCTCGGCGCAGCCCCGGGGCCGGGCCGTGCCCGCCCCATCGCCCCCCCCGCTCCCCCGCCCCGTTAAAGCCGGCGGGCCCCGGCGCTGCCGCCGCCCCGCACCGCCCGCAGCGCGTACCTGAGCCAGCAGCGCGGCGGGGAGCGGCTCCGAGCCCGGCACGGCTGAGGCGGCGGCTCCGCGGGCACCGCCGCTCCTGCGGGGAGCACAGCACACGAGGAGGGTCAGGAGGGCGCGGGTGAGTCCGGTCCCGGTCCGTGTCCCGGTTCCGGAACCGGTCCCCATCCCGGTCCCGGTCCCTATCCCGGTCCCGATCCCTGTCCCCGTTCCGATCCCCATCCTGATCCCGGTCCCGATCCCTGTCCCCGTCCCGATCCCCATCCCGATCCCGGTTCCTATCCCGGTCCCGATCCTTATCCCGGTCCCGGTGCCGGTCCCAGCCCGGTCCAGCGGGGCTGTGCGCGGTGCCGAGCGGACATTGGCACCCTCCGAGTGGGCTCTTCCATGGAGCAGGGTTGGCAGGAAGGGGAGCGGCGATCCTGGGCGCCAGGAGCAGAAAGCAAAGCCGGGAGGAGGGGAAGAGCTTGTCCTTCGCCCCAAAGGGTTTTTCCTCCCGTCTGGGGGCTGGAGCCCTCCCGGTCCCCGGGCGCACGGTGCCGGGGCACGGAACCCGCTCGGTTCCTCGGTGCTGTGGCAGCGATGTGAGCGAGCTCTTCCCGCTGCCTGCCCTGCTCGCCTTTTGCCTATCTGTCGGGCAGGTCCCTGCTTATACAGCCGAGGATCTCATAGCAGAGCATAATAATGTCTCGTACACCTGGGCAAGGCGTGCTGAGCAGCAGGAAATGGAGATCCTGCAGAAAGATAAGCTCAGAAGTGTACCCTAAGTTTGTTTCTGCACGACTGGAAAATTGGGTCTGTGCATACTCGTTTGCACAAGCAATCACCCACCTTTGGCTTATCATTCCAACTGTTTCACAGGATAAAATTAGCTTTGGGCACTTCTGTTCCAAGCAATTGCATGGGAAAACTTGTTTGGAAAATCAGATTATTCTGCACTCATGGTGTTTGTGTGGACATGCACTCGAGTGAGCTGAGCAGATACATGCTGTGGTGGTGGTATGTGCTCTGCTGAGGCTTTGCAGGGACAGCCTTTGCTGTGGAGCAGAGAGCTGCTGAATCCTTCAGCAGGCAGGCTGCAGAGTGGGTAAGGAGGCTGGCAGGGAAATGGGACTGTCCTGTGTCAATAGAAGCCACCATGGAGTGGGACTGAGGGGAGCAGGGGTCCAAGAGAGGGACCTGTTCTCAGTCCAACTCTGAGACAAAGCATGGGACTTTGCCTCTTTTGCTTAATCACACTGGATTTTTGCTTCACTTAAACCCGCATTATTTATAGTGTTATTATGAAGTTCTCCCTGTGGGACCTGTCCCTGTGGGACCCTCTGTAGCATCTCTTGAGAGTAAAGATTTTTATATTTTCAAGGAGCAGTTAATCCCAGGCAGTGAGTGTGCAGGCTCTCACTAACAAGTAGAAACTGCATTTCACAAGCAGATTCTTGCAATCTCTGCAGGAATTCATTAGGTTGCTGTTGATATCAGCAAAAAGCTGTGTGTGGGGAAATCTCTCAGATCTCAGCCCTGATATTTGCCACCAGGATATGGATAAACTCAGCCTCATCCAAAATGCAAACTTCCCTCTTGAAACCAGGTGACAGATCTTGGTGTCTGCAGTAAAACAACACTTTTCATCAAAGCAGGCAGGGTATTGCTGCATCCAATGGGAAAAAGCTGTTGTTGATTTTTGTGGAAGTTGTAACTTTCATTTTTTGTTGAAGAATTAAAGAAACCGCATGTGCTCAGAACAAGATGGGCTCGGGGGCTGCCCTGGCTGGTGGCTGGAGCAAACAGAGGAGCTGTGGCCAACAAGGCAGCCTGTTGTAGAAAACCTGTGGTCACAGAAGATGTTTGTGCTCCCATTGCTCATAACATAGCGTTTCCCCTGAGGTTGGCATGAGGGGTTAAAGGTTTTCAAGAGAAGTCTTTGTTTAAACATCTTTAAAGTTTCCAATAGGGGCCCCTTTGTTCGCTCTGGAGCAGCGTGCCTGCCCTGTTAAAAACTCAGCACTCATAAAATGCCATTTACAAATGCCTGATGAATAGGGCTGAAACATGGAGGGGAGATAAATAGAGTTTGTACCTACACACACACACACAGGACTTACAGACAGGCCCTACTGTGAGTGAATAAATGGGACCTAGAAAAAACACAGAAAAAAAAAATAAAATAGATGGGAGTGGTGCTTATAAAGAAACTTATAAAAGTCAGCTACTCCCCCTGCACCACTTGGGCCCTTTCATGCCAGATGTCTCTTCCAGCCAAGCCAGGAGGCTGAGTGGCTCCTGACACTTGTCATTACCTCTCAGTAATCCTGTTTGTGGGCTCACACAGCAGCAAATTGAGCACTTGGGCACCTTCAGCAGCTCATGCAGCTGCCACAAGGGCTGCACTGATCTGCTGGCCATGAGGACCCTGACCCAGTGCTCTCCATTACTGCTGAGGCTGGTGAGCATCACCCCCTGTAGGCACTCACAGCACAGATGTACCTTTGGGTGACAGGTAATGTTTTCAAGTCTTAGAAGGCTTTGGTTCTCTCCTGCCTTGGCTAAATAGAAAGGGTTTTAAACCAGCTCTGTTAAAGCAGGAGAGGGTGAGGTGTGTGCCCAGCAGACTCCAGAGGCTGGTTCACAGCAATGGCAGCATTTCCATGTGGGGTGCTCCCAGCTGAGTCTTATCCTGTGCCTGAATCTTTCTTGGTTCTCACACAGCTTGTCCTTCCTGGCGTTTTTTACTCGAGTCAGAATCCATCTTCCCCACCAATATTCTGTCTTTGCCTGTCTATCTGCAAACTTCTGATCCTCTGGCCTTGAAGCCCCTGCTTGCACACGAGTCCATCCCTAGCTTGGTCCCTCTGGTGCCCCTCAGGGACATCCACAGGGCTCAGCTGCTGTCCCTTGCAGAGAGGTGGCAGTACCTTGCTTTCTCTCCAGACTTCAGCTTTTCTGTCTCTGGGCTGTTCTTTGCCAGTGTGTAAATTCAGGAATCTTTGCAGTCTGTGGACCCATATGAGGGCATGCTCTGTGGCTGGAGCCAGTGGTAGCAGATCTGTTGGCAGCAGAGATAACCCCCTGTACAAGAGTCTCTGTCTGGGCTGGAAAATCAGGCAAGCTCCACATGTGGAAAAACGCTGCTTTTGGGAATTCATACAGCTCAAACACTGCCTTTGGGCATTCACAGCTCACACACCTGCAGCTGGGCTTGGAGGGCTTTCCCAAAGTGTCACCTGCTCTTCAGTGTGGGCAGAAGGGAGGCCACAGCCACTGTGCTGCTGGTGAAGCTCTCCTTTGATGCATCTCCTAAGGGGTGACAGCACCCCAGTCCCAGGACAGATCTCCTGCTGCCAGAGGGACATGGAAGCTGTGAATTTGGGTGTGAGACATTTCCTGTGCTACCTTTGAGGTTCTCCCTGTGAAAAGTATCTACACAAATTTGCTTTTCTGTTCTGAGGAGGGACAAAAAGTCCCCGCGTGCCTTTCCGCAGCTGCCAGACGTTCCTCACTTTCTGCTATTTCAATTAAACACATAGCAGGATGGGTAGGATAAAGGGGAGAGGCACAAGAATAATTCTCCTGGCGTGTTTTCTTATGCCAACACATTGAGTCACATCTCTAGAGTGAGAAATATGATATAAAGGCTTCAAGAAGGAGGTCAGGCAATGAATCTGTGATTGCTGGGCTGGAATAGCAGGCGGGCTCTGTGGTTGTCTGTGCCATGCAAACTTCCTGAGGTCAGCTGGGGATTGTGGTCCGAGCAGATCTGGGAGACAGCTGTCCTGCTAGGAACTCTCAATCTCATACCAGCTCTGCTGCATCGGGAGCTTAGCTGACAAACTCTGCACCAGCCCAGTGGCTGGTCTGGGCCATGACTTTTCCTTTGTGGTTGAACATGCATTTTTCTGGGGGAAAAAAATGCTAACACCTTCCTCCCAAAACAAAAACTTGGGCAATGGATTGCTGCGTCAGCTTCTGGATGGCCAGGACATCCTTCTCTCCAAGGTTTGAAGTCTCTTGGCCCAGCTCAGCTGTCCTCCAAGGACCTGTTTGCAGAAGAGCATTTGCTTTTTAAACAGAGTGGGTCTGTCCCCTGTTGATCACTCTTCATCAAAATCAGAGTACTCCAGTTTTATTGAAAATAGCAGTTAGGAGATGGGCTGAGTTGTGCAGCTCAGGGGACAAGTGTGGCCTAAAGGTCTTGGGTGGGACAGAGAGAACAGAGCAATGGCACCAGCAGTCCTGAAACAGGAGCCATCTCTGACACGATTAGCTGAACAAGGAGATTTGGCAGATGTGTTTTCCTCTTGGCTAGATCTTTAACATTTTAATTTGCAAGTGAATGTGGCTTTTATCTGTGGCAGCTGTTGCTGAAGCAGCCCAGGTACAGCTTGTTTCAGTGCAGGGCTGTCTGGGCAGGAGGCTTTCCTGCCAGGTGAGTGGCAGAGCACTGGGAGGTCTTGTAGAGAGAGACTGAGGCAGAGAAAAACCCCGTCTGCTGTTGTGGAGAACATCTAGGAGAGGATGCTCTGTCCATTGCTACACCCAGCATTTCCTTCCCAAGGGGATTTCAAATGTCATGTCACACTATAAACCTGCCAGGACTTCAGCCCATGAGCTGTGAGTCAAAGACATCTCTTACTGCTAAAGGACCTGGTCAAGAAATATATTCCTCCTGTGAATAAACAGGAGTGAGTCCCATAAAATGGGGAAAAGGCTTTTGTGGGGAGCAAGCAGAGCAAAAGAGAAGTTCCTTCTGCATCCAGCAAGGCTTTCCTGTTACAGCCCTCCTGCTGGTTTGCTCCTGTTGGGTTTGGAGCCTCGATGTGCTGTTGGAGAAATACAGCCTTGTTTTTCAAACAATGTGTCCTTCCAGGTGGCACTTGGCCCAGTCAAGCTGCCGTGGAGTTGTAACCAGAGAGCTCTGTCAGGTTCTGGAAAGAGTCTGCTCTGCTTGTCCCACATGTGTTTGGGAAAAACCAAGGACACATCACTCCTTAAATGGGGGGAGAAACCCCATTGGGGCTGGAAATTCTTGCCATTTCCATGCTCTGCATGTGCTTGTGGTCCCTGAGTCTTCCTTGCTCTAAAATCTGCATTGCTGTCCTCTCTGATTGGCCTTTTGTCACCCAGCTGCTGTGGGGGATGAGCACTGAGATTTTGGAGCTGTGATTGAGTGTAAAGTCAGTGCTGCCTGTAAAATGGTCCTGAGGGTGGATTCAGAGCTTGTGAGCAGCACAGGTAGCACTGAGAGCTGGGCATCTGCATGCAGAGAGCACCTTGAGACTGGGGATTATACTGGGAGAAACCAACCTTTGGGCAGCTCTCCAGGGGAGGGTGGATCCTGCTCCAGGCTGTCCCAGGCCTCATTCTTTCACACTGCTTGCAGGTCTTGTGCCAGCAATTCATCCATGTTTCTACAGCAAATTTTGGCATCGAGAGCTGCCTCCAGGATTGTGTAAATTGTCTGCATCTCTCCAGGTAGCTCTGGTTGCTTCATTGTCCCCTGGGGCAAGGCACACTTCAGTCTTCCTCCCTTGGTCCCACATGCATTTTTGGGCAGCCTTTCTCTCAGGCATGGACCAGAAGGATGATGACTCATTGTCCTGCTGAGGACATCACAATTTTTCTCCCCATCCTTCAGCTTGAGGGTGCTCTTGTGTTGTCCTGGCAGAACTCAGGTGTCTTAAGTGAAAGGACTCAGGGCTGGCGCTCCTGATCATATTTTGATTGGGTTTTTTGACACTTTCATCAAATAAAACTGGATGAATTTCTCAAATCTGCCTGGTTGGGTTTCCACAAAGAAAAGCTCTGAAGAGCAGAGGAGGGTCATGGAGAGGCAGATGAGGAGGGTGAATTTCAGCAACATCTTGTGTAGGGCTGCTCTGCCATTGCCCAAGGCTTCCAGCACAGAAATAGGTGCTGTCAGCACGTGTGGCATCAGTGCCCTGCACCCTGCCATGTGTTTCTAGACCTGCTGTGTGTGCCTCCTCCTTGCACAGCCCTGCTGTATGGGACAGCCCTCTGGCTTGGCTGGTGCTTCTCACGGGCTCCCAGCTCTTCCCCACTCCTTGCAGCTCACGGTGATCCCTTGTCCTGGCTTCTTGCAGGCTCTGGAGCCAGCATGGCTCCAAAGCCTTGGTCCTCAACCTGCCTTCCTCCCTGTGACACTTACAGTCAGGGCTTTTCCTGGGCTGTGAATGCACTGCCACCTCTCCTTTCCCATCTGCTCATCTCCTCTGCAGCTCAGTACAGAGCCCCCATCGCTGCAGCAGAAGGAGGGCAGGGAGCTGGCAGCATTCCTCACCCTGTGGCCTTGCCCAGGGCAGGCTGCACCCAGGCCCAACCTGCCACCAGCTGGATGAAGCAGAAGGGGAATATTCAGAGTATTTCTGCTAACCTGTAGCCAGGAGAGAGCTGCCAAGGAGGCCAGGCTGAAACCTGAGGCGGCTGTTTTTGCTGAGACTCAGCATTTGGCAGGGAGAGCAGACGGACAAGTGGTGGAGCAGGGAGGGATGCAATTGCCCTGGGGAGCAGCATTGCCAGGGGAGGTGCCCAGGGAAGGTGTGCTGGCTTACCTGTGTGTCTCTGGGGATCCATCTCCATGTCCTCCTTGGCTGAGATCACGTGCAGAGTGAAGAGGAGGTGACCCTGCTGTGCTCACATGTGCCTCTCCCCTCGGTCACCCTCCTTGCATCACACACCGAGCATCTCCTTCAGCAGTGAAGAGCAATAACTGTTTCCCCCTCTGAGTTGCTCAGAACTGTCAGGAATGGTCCCAATGCCCTCTCAGCTTGTCTGCAGGGTTTGGCTGAGCCAGCCCAGGCAGCAGCACTCACCTTGCCTGGATCCTTTTGCCTTTATAGCTCCGTGTTATCTCAAGGTCTCTGGCGGTGCAGGTGGTGTTTGCCTTGCCCTGCAGCACCTGCCTGCCAGCCGCTGCCTTCCCACCACGGCCTCCCACTGCTGCAGGGCATGGAGGGGGTGCTGTGCACCCTCAGTGCCTCTGCAGGGACGCAGGTCAGCCCAGGGAAGGGAGGGTGGAGGGAGGTTGACAAGTGTGGGATGGTGGTAGAGATATCGGGGGACTTTTGTCCCATCATCTTTGCTTCCCCATCCCTTTGCTGCTGGGGCAGGACTGGCCATTAAATTGAATCAGGGACCAGGACTCTGGTCTCTGCTGCCAGGACAGAATATGACTGAGCTGCCATGCCCTGCCCTGTCCAGGCAGCATCAGCCTTTGCAGCTGTGGGGAGAGCCAAGGCTTCATCCAAAAGCTGAGATGATGTTAAAAATAGATCAGTCGTGAACTGGTTTTCTCCTTCTTGGTTCCTGGCCCGACAGCTCATTCCTCCCCCTGGGCTGTCTTTGAACCTCTCTGGATGCTGTGAGAGACAGGCTCCACAGCAGCCTGCCACTGCAGGGGGGTGTGCAGAGAAGGGAGCTGCAGAAATGTTCTAGGTGGCACAGCTGTCCCAAAAATATTTAGTGTTTTGTGAGTGCTTTCTCCCAGGAAAGAAGCAGCCCTGGAAAAAGAATCTGCTAAATGAATGGGGAAACAAAGCTGGAGGAGGAGAACTTTGCCTCTCTGCTTGCATGTGGTGAGGGGGCACAGCTGTCTGAGCAATCCTGGCCACAGAGCTCACCTCTGCTGCCTAGGAAAGACCTGCCAGGCTGCTGTCCCTGCTCATCCCCTCAGCCAGAGCAATCCCTCTGGTCCTGCAGGGCTCTGCAGGAGCTCCTGGCACTGCTGCAGGGTCACCGTGTCCAGGGCTGCTCCAGGGCTGGTGGGCTGTCCCCTCCAGGGAAAGGCCGTCTCTCACTTTGAGATGGGTGTTCTGGACCCCAGTATCCTCCAGTACCCCTTTTCTGCCCTCCTAATTCTCTAATACAGTTTTCCAGGTGTGAGCACTGAGCCTCGAGACAGTTTTAAGATGCAGCTGTGAAACCTATTATCAGTGTCCCTGCTATCAAAGACGTGGTGTTCAGGGCTGCACGTAACCACTGAGCAATTAAACAGCAACCCTGGTGATGAATTACAGCTGAGACCTCCTGGGGCTAAATAAATACTGCCTGATAACTACCGATAAAATGAATTTTGGTGTGTTTTTTTTCTTAAAAGCACCCTTCCAGTACCTGAGCCCAGTCCTGGCACTCCCCATGTTCTGGGGAGAGTCACATTATCTGTGGAATTTCTGTCCCCAGCACCTTGGGTTTCCAACCAGAGCTGGAATAAAAATGAACTAAATAAATCCACATCCCTGCAGGAGCCAGGAAAGGCAAGGCAAGACAGCACAGAGGTGGGCTGGGAGGGAGAGAAGTGAGAAGCTGAGGTTTTGGGTAACAAGTTTAAATATCTTTTCCCCCACTGATCCCACCCTAAAGACATGAAAAAACTGTTGAGGTGCAGAGAATCCCTTGGAAAAACCTTTAGGACAGGGAGAGGTGCAGAGTGGTGGGGACTCTAAAGGCATCCTTGCACCCTCTGCCTGCAGAGGCTTCTGCTCTCCCAAGGGAGTTTGGAAACAGGCAGAGAATGGAACTTCTTGGAAAAATGATCTTTGCCAGTGACTTTGAGAGACTTCTGAGCAGGTGCTGTCTGTGCTGGTGTTTCATCTGGGGGCTTCTCTCCCCGTGCAGGAGTATCAGGAGGGCTGGTGCTCTGCATCCCTGTGTGCAGCTTTCCCACTCTCCACTGGCTGCAGAGAACAGCCACACAGTCAGGGAAAAAGCATTTGGCTGAACATCCCATCTGCCTGGTTTGCAAGTGAAAATAAGGCTTGTCCAATGGCCAGCTCCACCCAGAGCAGAAAATCAGACCCTTTGGCAGAGTGCTGCTACTGTAATGAAATTGAGCTGTGCTGAGACTGCCAGTCCCTGGAACAGGAAAGATTCCATGTGGATTCAGAGAAGTTTGGGGATGGATCTGTCAAAACTGCTGCTGTTGAGGGTTTTTGGCACTTCCTAAGGACACCCATCACAGGAGAATGTTGCCCTGTGGCTGAGCACTGATTGCACCTTGTCTTCTCCCTGCAGGACATCCTTCCAGCACTGGAACTGTGTGCTCTCCCAGAGCCATCATGAAGCTCCTGCCTGCTGCCCCTCTCCTCCTGCTCCTCCTGACAACACTGGAAGCCAGACCAAAACCTGCAGGTGAGCCCTGGCTGGTGGGGAGTGCATGGAGGGGGGAGAAGTGAGGACCTGGGGCAGTGGAGCCCTCAGAGGACAGTTTGCTGTGTGTTATGGGGGGACATGATGCCTCTTCCTTGGGAGCATCCCCAGGAGGATGGAGGATCCTCCCAGCAGTGGGACACAAACTTCCTGGCCCCAGCACGGTGGCTTTGGTGCTGCTTGCTCTGGGCACCTCCTCAGCTGTGACACAGCACTGCCCAGGACTTGTCACCCTCCAGGCCATGGGCTGTGACCTTGCAGGAGACACAGCTGTAACGGAAAGTCTCCTCCTTGCTTGACTCTCCAGGTGCAGGAGACAAAGCAAACCCAGAGGTTCCAGCCTCTCTCCTCCCAGGACAGAGAGATCTAAATCAATTTTAGCTTAAAAACAGTGAAGGCACCAAATGGAGAAAGGAGCAGGTATGTCTCAGAGACCTTTAGAGCAGCTGAGATTGGCATCATCCCAAAGGCGCTGAAAGCATTTCCTTTATGATTAAGGCCCAATTCTACCAGCAGAAATGTTCACTGGCATTTCACTTGCTGAACATTCCCTCGGTTTGCACTGGGAGTAGCATCCTTTTGCTCAAGAGATGCTTTTTGGCTCAATCTCCGCCAGCTTTGCTTTTAATGTCTCGTTCCCTGCCCTTAAAAAACCACAGCCACAAGAACCCACAGCCAGGAGATGTCTCCCCAGCCTGTTGGCCCTGCTTCCACTCTGCCACCTTCTGTGGTGGTGTTTGCAGGGGTCCCAGGATGAGGGAAGAGACGAGGATCTGACTCCATGTTTCAGAAGGCTTGATTTATTATTTTATGATATATATTACATTAAAACTATACTAAAAGAATAGAAGAAAGGATTTCATCAGAAGGATAACTAAGAATAGAAAAAGAATGATAACAAAGGCTTGTGACTGACCAGACAGTCTGAGCCAGCTGGACTGTGATTGGCCATTAATTAGAAACAACTGCATGGACCAATCACAGATGCACCTGTTGCATTCCACAGCAGCAGATAATCATTGTTTACATTTAATTTCTGAGGCCTCAGCTTCTCAGGAGAAAAGGATCCTAACAAAAGGATTTTTCATAAAGCATGTCTGTGACAACCTTCTGTGGATTCACTGGGCAGTGGAAGGTGCCGGTCTGTGGGGGCTGCCCAAACCTGCTCTCTCCATCCCCCATGAGCAGCCCCCAGCCAGCAGGCAGAGCTGTCTGTGCTCCCTGCAGACAGCCACAGGACTGAGCCTTCTCCTTGCCTTCTCCTTAGCCCTGAAGTGCAGGACGGGTCCCCTGGACATCGTGTTTGTGATCGATAGCTCGCGCAGCGTGCGCCCCTTCGAGTTCGAGACCATGCGGCGCTTCATGATGGACATCATCAGCAACCTGGACGTGGGCCCCAACGCCACACGGGTGGGTGAGCTGTTCTTCTGGGGGATCCCTGGGGGCCCCCTAAGCTGTGTGTTCGCTGGTAGCAGCAGGCAGGCAAGGAGACTCCGCACAGCTTCTGAGGGTGCTCATTACTTGAGGGTTTATTGGGGGTCCCACCCTGGGAGCAGCATGGATTCTGAGTGTGAAAAACGCCAATCACTTGTTTTTAAAATTTTAAAAGTTTAATAGTGATAAAATGGTTATAAAAATAGTAATACAATTAGAGTAATAATAATTTTGACAAATTGAATTAGGACAATATGAGATAATAGAAACAAAGAGTTATGGGTGTCTGGGTACCTTTTTCTGGGCAGCACAAGCCCGAAAAAGGACCCACATTAACGGAGGATTAACCCTTAAAAACAATAGCCTATGCCATATTCATACACCTCATATATGATGCATAAATTCCATTCAAATACAGGATTCTGTCTGGTCATAGTCAACTTCTTCCTCATAATCCTGCCCAAGCAAGGCAGGAAGAAGTTCATTTCTCCTGATAATGGAGCAATAAATTCTCTTTCTCTGAAAAATTTAGGTGTCCTGTGGCTGCTATCTCAGTGCGAGTCCTTTCTTTAGAAAAAAAAATCCCACATAGCATAGTTTCTATTTTAACATTTTGTTGTAACCTAAAGCTATATTTAACACACTACTTAAGAGAATTAATACAACATCACTTTCTAACACAACACATATAATATTCATTTTAATATTTGCGAAAAGCCAATCATAAAATACACATTTTCACATGAGGGAGAAGGGGGGAAGTGGAAGGGAGGGGACAGAGGGAGCGCCTAGGGAGCAAAGGAGCTAGGAGAGAGCAGGGCCAAGGGAGAGGAAAGGGCTAAGAGGCTTCTTGTGTCCATTGCACAGCTTGACAGGGAGATTCAAGGTGGGTGCTGAGTAAGACTTGGGCCACTGGGATTATAGATCTGTGATACTTCAGGGGAGAATCACAGTCTTGGAATAAACCCTACATTTTCAAGGGTTGAGACAGAACATGTCCT